TGGTTAAATGTTTAAGATTAAAATTATTTGTTCCAGTGACGTTAACAGATATTTCTAACAAAACACATGTATGGCAGTGTTTTTTGATATTTTTATTAAATTAAAAATAGAAAACAAAAATGTTTTGTAATTATTTTTTTTGTACCACTTTTTAGCAAATTAACCATGCACATCTGTATAGCGTTTAGGTATACATGAAATAACCTAGAATAAGAATTAGTAGAAAATATGGCAAACTTTTATCTTTTTAGGTATACCTTATTTTATTTAATTTTGTTTGGAAATTGATAATGCGCATGCCCCAAATGTTTTCTGTTTTAAATGTTCCGGCTTAAGTTTTTTTTAATGAATTTTGACAGTTTTACAAAGTATTCGGGAGACTGAGTCATTTTTTTGCAACAATTAAAACTGCCTGTTCAAGGTAACAACATACTTTTTAACTGCAAGAAAAATACTGTTTAACCACTAAAAACCTACTTTTGAACCATAAAAAACTACTTTTTAGTGAGTAAAATTTTACTTTCTAACTAAAATTACTAAAAACTAAAAAGTACGTGTTTAGGGACTAAAAAGTAAGTTTCTTTAATGAATTTTGACAGTTTAATAAAGGATTCGGGAGACTGATTCATTTTTTGTTGAGTATAACCTTGACTTTTACAGACCTTAAAAACCTAAATTTAAACATTTCTCAAAAATACCTGATATTAATTTTTATCTAAATTCTTAACTTACTGAGCTAGGGAAGGGGGTTTCTAGGATCCACGACTGGTGCTATAGTTTATAAAAATTCGATATTTGCGTTTCTAAGATAGTATTAATAAAATAGTTTTTTTTTCTCTAGATATTAAGGAAGCATCGTTTGGAATGGCCCACCTGGTAGATAGAAGAATGTTATGTTTTTATGTTCCTACCTATTTTAGTAAATAATCCTAGTGGCATGGATTTTCTTATTCTATTCTATATTATAATAAACAGAAAAAATATATTTAGAATAAAATTTCTTTTAGGATTTTTCACAAAGAATAAATACCGGATTAATTTAAAGCTACTAACTGCTCATTTGAAATTTCTTGATACATATGCCTTACGTTATTATATGTCTAAAGACAAATAAGTTTAAATTATCAAATAACAATTTTATATTACATAACCTACTGAATTTTTAAAATTCAAATACATTTTTAAAATATTTAGCAATATAACTAATATATTTATTATAAAATAATCGTATCTTTTATTTTTAAAACCCTTCCTTTCCTATGTTGATCTGTATTTCCACTACAGGTTAAATAAAGATTTATGTAAATTATATAGGTAGGTATATATTAGGTAAATTTTGCTAAATGTTAATTTTTCTATTTTTACAGAACTGGTTTAAGTATGAACAAATATAAAGTTCACTTATCCTCGGTAAATCTGGAAATTTGACATTTAATACATGCAAAACATTCTTGTATTTTGACTTTAACTGAACTTTATTTTTTTTATAGAAAAAACTGCCTAAGAGCCAAAGAAACCAGCCCTAACTAGCAAAATTTACTTTTAACCATCAAAAAATAATAAATAATAAAGGTAAAAATTAACTGTATAATCATTAAAATCTACTTTTTAAAGGTAAAAGGTTACTTTTAAATCACTACACACTACTTTTTAACCACAAAAATAATTTTTTTAAGGTAAAAATTAATTTTTTATTAATTAAAACTACCTTTTAAAGGTAAAAAAATATTTTTTATTGCAAAGAAAGTAATTTCTTAATCAGTACCTAATTTTTAACCAATAAAAACTACTTTTAATTAATAAGAACTATTTTTTAGCCACTAAAAGTCTAATTTTTAACCAGTAAAATCTATTTTTAGGAGATACAAAATAATTGTTTAACAATTAAAACTGCCTGTTCAAGGTAACAAAATACTTTTTAACTGCAAGAAAAATACTGTTTAACCACTAATAACCTACTTTTTAACCATAAAAAGTCTACTTTTTAGTGAGTAAAGTTTTACTTTCTAACCACTAAGATTAATAAAAACTAAAAAGTAAGTTTTTAGGGACTAAAAAGTAATTCCAAAAAAATTAATTTATTAACTGTAGCAAAGTACTTTGGCTGTCGCCTATTTTAATAGTTTTTTTTTAAGGGTTAATACATTTTTTGCTACCATAGCAAAAAATTTCCCTCGGTGCATGATAAAGCACAAGGCCACCTTTTTTCACTTTCGAACCTGTCAAATGCAACTACTTCATTTTATCCATCCCGATTTTTTTGAAACCCGTAAACAATATCATACTTTCCAATCTCTATTAAAGTCGAATAAATAATTTGTAAAAAAATTTCATTCTGCAAAATCAAAGAAGCCTACCCTAGTAACAATTTAATATTTTATGAAAGCTGAAAAAATTTTTACAGAACAAAATTTATAAAACAGAATATTAACTAAGAATATTTCTTTCAACAGTAATAAATACAAAATGGGCGCAGTATTACAAAAACTATTTGGTTCATTTGTAAATGGTATAAGATTTTTTTCACGCGGTTACTGGATAGTTATTACACAATTACATAAACTTTAAACAAATGTTTTGTTTAAACTTTGATGTTCAATTTTGAGGTGTTATGTCGCTTATGAAAATCAGTAATATTTTCGTTTTTCAAAAGTATCTGATGAAAACAAATTAATTCTAGATTTGTCATAAAAGGCAAATTTAGGATTATAATAGTAAAATGGCAGTATCTATAACGCGGTTTAGACTTATTGTATGACCCACAATAAAGTCGTTTTTGGATGCGCAAGTTATATAAGAAGAAACGTTGATTCTATTAAAATATAAAACCGTAAACTGTTAACTTTGCATTTATCATTATCATGTAAAATACATTATTAAAATTAATTCCAGTTTAGATTATTGTAGAGTAAACGTCAAATAAATAAAATCTTAAATTTTCAAAGTGTAAATTTTTATTTTTTAAAAAATTATTTTCAAGTTAAATAAATTTAACTCGTAGTAAGAATTACTGAATGTAGTGCATACATTACTAAATTTTTAAGCGCATCGACTTTGATTTATATTTCTAATAATTTTTCAGTGTGAAACAATTATATTTATGCAATTCGTTTTTATTAGTAATAAGATTATGCTAATATTACTAATGATAAAAAATCTTTAATTAGCATATTGGTTTTGTCTTATGAACTAGTAAAACCTACAGTATAGATTTAGCTTTAGAACTGTCTTAGATTTTTGTTAAATATGGTGGCTGTTCAAAGGTATTGAAGTTATTTTAAGACAGAATCATATATATAAAATATTATTGTAATAAAAACAACTGTAGTACAATAATTAAGCTGTATCAGTCATTTCTACAAAACAAGTTTACCATGGTTTGTTGTATAATAGTTTCAAAATGCTGCACTGTATGACTTAAAATATAACATAACCATACTAAATCGTTTGCATTTTAGGTATTTGAGAATTGATATGATTAGATTTTTTTTATACAGCTTTATAGAGGAAGCATTATTCATAAGATTGCTAGGATAAGCCGGTTTAACATAAACATCGCCTTTCTGTTAGTATTGGAGCATGAGTATTTAGAACATAATTATTATCTGGCTGAATGATGCAGTAAAATATTTTGCTAATATTTTTTTACTATTCTCTGAAAAGTAGGTAACACTTATTTTTTATATTACTTCACTTATTTATTTCTGATGTTTTCGAACAACATCGTCGCTGTTATTACCAAGGAGCCTATTCCAATTTTTACAACTTTTCAGGAGAGAGGTTTGAAGAAAACTGTCGTGATCAATTTGGCTGATATTTAAGTTTTATTTCAGTTTATTTTTTTACAATAACGTAGATAAATCAATGTACATGTTTTTTTTTTAATATATATTAAGATAGGCTCTTTCGTAAAAACAGCAATAAGTTCTTGTTTGTACATAGTCCCCTCTGTTATTAATACCAAATATAATTTTCATTAAAAAGGTATGCAATTTTTTTAACTTTTAGTGTTTATTTTTATTAAAACAGTTAAAACATACATACAATATAACAAAAACATAAAGTGTTTCTCAAAACGTATGCCAAAGAATACCTTTATAAATAAAATAATTATTTATGCAACTAGTGTATAAAGTTATTCTTTTGAAAAAAGATAGGTACTTTACACACGTGTTGCAAAAACATTTTTTCTAATACAGCATATTTTTTACAAAAATAAATAACTTTCTCTATACGCGTAAAGTAAATTAGTTTACGCACTGAATGAAAAAAATTAAGTTTTTACGCAATGAAGTAGAACATATATTTTTGAACGAAACTAAAAAAGAACAGTTTTAAACCAAAACTAAAACAATACCCAATCTAAGTTAACATGAATGCTAATGTAAAAGTCACTACTATTTGAGTGTGTGCGGCATAAAACTGCCAGGACATCTAATGTCAGGCTTGTCACCAGTACATAATGCCATTAAGTCATTGTATTTTAGCAAAGGTTTTTGCCTGGGTTCCTTGTTTAACTTTGAAAGAGTTATAGTACCTCCATTTTTTCTTTTTATGGTGATAGCTCGATATTGAGTTTCCAGATGACTCGTTGTGAAAAACAGATTAATAGGACTATTTTGTTTTACTGAAAACTCAAAAATAACAGTTCATTTAAAATCCTTGCCATTGTCGTTAGTTCTTATGGACTTGATTCTATAATGTTCACTACATTTTTAAAAATTCAAAACGTCATCTAAATTTAAAAAATAAAGCTTTTTCTATCTGGCTAGATGAAACACCCGCACTAGTTCGCTCGGAGTAAACAAGTCACCAGCCATCTTGACTTCTTAGTTAATGGCACTATTCTCAGAGTCTCCTTCATTTTGGCCGTGATTGGGGAAAGAACGTAGGCTTATTTCTTTTAAATTCTTGCAGTTTAACACAGTGTAAAAAAGAGCAGTAGCTATAATAGACTTTTTGTTCTGCCCGTTGAACCCATCAGCAAATAGAAGAGCAGACTAAATCTTCTTTTCTTCGTCGTATTTTTTTAATGTTTTGAAAACAGCAGTTGCAATTTCCGAAGCACTGTGGCGTCTCTCAGCTTCATGCAACGTGTAACAAAAGCAGTATCGACTACCTGGATCGTAAACTGTTAACTTATCCATGCTCAACCTTCTCTTGTAAAACACTACACCATCGTTAGAGATAGGTAAATTTATCACGAGCTGCAGATCAAAGCCACCACTAAAAATTGTAGAATCATTTCTTATATTTCTCACACTGCGCTTTTCTCTAAAATGTTTTTTTATAAGCGTCATTAATTTTTTGTTTTTCTTCTTTTGTACCGTCATTCTGAATTCGACATAGCCCACATTGATCTTTCTTAGGTCTGTGGAATGAAAGATTCATACTTTTGAAAACCAACCGATATAGAGAAAGACAATAGAGAGATATTGCAAATTTCTATAACGTCAGCCACTAATAGTGACAACGTAATTAGAGGCAAATAAATTCCATGCTAAAATAAGACTTATTGCAAACCTGAAATTTTGACATTAGAGTCCTTTTTCTTATACATATTTCTAACCTCATTTTAAAAATTTTAAATTACAGGTCATCTTTTTTGTTGTTTATAATTCTACATAATAGGGAAGGTATTAGAAATTACCATTTTAGAAGGTTTAGATGACGAAGATGTTAAATATTTAATATTGAAAAACTTCGAACTGATACGAATGTTGGCGAGTGTACCCGAAAACTATAAAGTCGCCACTAACTGCTGTCCTTAAACATTCACAATTAAGGACAGGCATAATCTTTATTAAAGTCAGTTCTAGAATGTAAGTAATCTAAGCATGCTTAGATGTCAAAATAAGAGGGGCACTGATAGTGAATTACCTTAAGTGAACTTGCAATAACTCTCTATTGTCTATTTGCATTCGGTTCTAAATCATTAATGAACATTATATATATTTTACTAATTGACAAATTTGCGTTAAGGTCCTCTCTGGAACTATTTTCCCGACAGTAATGGGATTCCACTTGAGGTAACCTGTTTAGGTATTTAGAAACACTGTCCTTTCAACATAGAATCTATGAAACATCTGATCAGTCGCATATCGCTAGCCTGTAAGCGATAAAACTGCTTCTTTGGACTACGGCATTAACATTTTCAAATAACCAAACTTCAAAGAAAAACTACAAGAATATCCAACTATTTATATTTTGACATAACAAATTCCAAATAATGTTATTTTTAATTTGGTTATAATTTATTCGATTGTCTTCGTCAAATAAAATTATAATATTTAATAATTTAAAGGGCCTATGTAAAACATACTTTTCATCTCTTGCAATAATATTATAACGTAAAGGCCTATGTTGAGATTCGTCCAGCAAGACGCGCATAAATCATATGGCATGGGGACCATGTCAACTTTGGCCTTAACGTAAAAATATTTTTATGGATAATGTAAGATAGGTCCGAATGTTTAAAGTCAATAAAATATAAACCATAAATAAGGTTTGCACGTGACTTGATATAGCCATTACTCATTATCGCCAAATTTCGAGATCAGCTCCTTCGTAATAACGGCGACGATATACTCACATACAATTGGTATGAAAAGTAGATAAACAAACATAGAATACAAAATATTATGGTGTAGGTACTACCAAATGTAGTTGCTTTAATTTTTTTTTATAAATAATTTTAAAGGGATAATACTATTCTTAAGTAAAATTATTGATTTATAATAGCTTCATATAGTTTTCTAATTTCCAGAAGTGTATTTCGACACTACATTACAGGTATTTTAAAGTTCTCATCAGAAGTTATGTGCTATTGACGTGGAATTATCTCACACTAATATTTATATAACTATTTTTTAAAGCGCTATTATGAGTTATATTTGTTTAACCTAAAAGTTGTAAAGGTGATCCGAAGCAAAAATCAGAATCACTATTAGTAACGCCGCGAGACGAGAGAGGCCTCTCTCGTCTCGTCTCGTAGGGAGAGAGAAAACTATTCTCTAGTCACGACGACAACGCGCTTTTTTCTCTCGAGAGAGCCTTTCTCTTGTCTTGTCTCGTCTCGTTTCTATCGTGATAAAAACTTATCAAATTTAAATTTGAAAAATATATACTTATGACGAAACATTAAAAACTGTAAAATTTTGAAGACAACAAATAATGTTTCAAGTAATGTGTCTCATCAGTACCAAAATTAGCAATAAGAAACGCTTGCGGAATTACCTCGGAATCTCTCTGTCTACCCGTTTGTCACAATCGTTTTACTTAGAGACTATTTGACATAAACAATTGAAATTTTAAAAAATCAGTAGCCCAAATTACTAAAAATGTAAATACTTTTCCTTGGAAGTCAGCTAGGGGAGGGTTTCAATTGGAAGTTAGAATTTTTTAATGCCATTGTGTGATATCAAATAAAAGCATTTTGAAACATATTAAAAATATATTATACTTTCGTTTGTTTTACTTTTTCTTTGACAATTTTTAGAAAAACACATAAAAATTGATGTCTTTCCAATTTATCTTCAAAAGTAACCTCAGAAAAATTTGACTGAGTAAAAATTATTACTCTCTCGATTCATTTTTTATTACGATTCTGCTCATTGGCTAGTTTTTTTTATGCAATGAGAGGGGCTCATCTGCTGTGCTGACACTTTGTATTAGCGCCTGCCAGACAAATCTATCAATATATCATCTCTAATTAGTCAAACATACATATCAATGTAATGTTATTTAATTCTTTTTACTTTCTATGAAATATTGTACCTGTGTGTTAGACAATTTCTAAGAAGTTTTATTCATATTACTATTAGTTTCACTGTTATATGTTTTTAATCAGCCGAAACAAGTACTCATGTACTTATCGGCCTTATCACTTTATTCGATAAATTGTTTATATTGATGTCGATGTATTTATTATTATTATTGATGTTGATGTATATATATATATTTCTTATTTTATGCGAATAAAGTTATTATTATTATTATTATTATTATTATTATTATTATTATTATTATTATTAATATTATTATTATTATTATTATTATTATTATTATTATTATTATTATTATTATTATTATTATTATTATTATTATTATTATTATTATTATTATTATTATTATTATTATTATTATTATTATTATTATTATTATTATTATTATTATTATTATTATTATTATTAATAATAATAATAATTAATTTAAAACATCTACGGCATGAAAAACTATTGCGTTATTTCATTAGGTCAAACTTTTTTTATTTGACTTTTAAACTTGTAAAATAATGACTTGTTTTTCTCTTGTCTGAAATAATTCGCGATATAAAAAATTGCTGTTAGATAACAAGTTGTAGGTACAACAAAATCTGTCACTATTTTTTTGTATAAAAGTTTAATAAAAATGGAAAAAAGTTTATCTTATATTTCACAAAAAAAATGTTGTAAAGTTCTGCATCACTTTGAAATCCAAAATCAATCAATCAATATACACTTATCATTGATTAAAATGTTACTGAAATCACGATGATAACCTGTTTCGTTTGAAATTTTAATTTTAAGTAGATAAAAAACTTCTTCAAGCTTCAAACTGAAATAAATGACATGGAAAATAATTTTTCTCATAAATTCACTATTGATAGAGTCCAAATTACACAGGTATTATTTGTAACCATTTAATAATATATGAAATAAGATAACCAATTGAAAATTTTAACTAAGCAAAAGTAAATTGCTCGAAAGAGCACATTTTAAAGGTGGGGATCAAAGTTTGTATAGGAATATTTGTTTCTTAAAGGTAGGAACTTGAAAATTGAAATTGTAGCTACTCATCATAAATAAATAATGACGCATTTCAGAATTTTTGGATATTTATATTTTTAGGGTGATAAACGGGGCTGAAAGTTTATATGGGAGCAGAGCCGGCGGAAGGAACATATTTATACCGGGCAAGTAACTTGTTTGGCGCCCCTATAATCACTAATAGGTAAAAAAAATATTCAAATATATTTTCGAGCTTATTTATTTATATATTAAGTATATTTTTTAATAAAAACCTGATTTTAGAGCTTTTATATCGGAAAATTCTTGAATAGTAGATTTATAGTTTATTTCGCGTAATAAGTCGTACTTCATCGACATCATGGCCAGCGCAACCAAGCAATCTTGTGATAGTAAATTTTTATTTGGAGAAACTACTTTCTCCTAATGCAATGGTTATGGGCAGTGTTAACAGAATACGCAATGCCACAGAGATGTTAGGACATTTTTTGACTAAAAGATGTCCACATATAAAATTTAGTATATCTGTTGGTGAACTGCTAGGGGTGACTAATGCAGGCGATACCATAAGCTCCTATTGAAGCTGTGGTCCATTAACATTTTAATGATTATCATCTCTTAGAGGTAGTTCAAGATTTTCACATTTTTTCAGTACGTCTTTGATATTAGTTTCACTAATATTATCGTACACAAAAGGAACTATATATCTTTGTATTCTTGGAGCACATTTATATTCTAATAAAAGTCTGTGGCAAATGGATTACATCCAATGCCAAACCCTCCCCCCCCCCCCACACACACACACACACTCTCAAATCTTTCTTCTAATGTATTTATAGATCTAAGACGAGAAAAATAAATTTATTTTAAACGCCTGTTTTGGTTCAACTACTGGATTATCTTCACGTTCATAGTTAAACTGACGTTTTATTTTCTTTGGTGAATTCTTGCGGACTGCTCAGATGATGGTTATATTTCTAAAATGTCCTTTACATCTCTAGCGCCCACTAAAATTTCATCAAACTGTTTATTTGATCGTAATCCTCATCTTTTTACTTTTGAAATCAAGCTGTTGCTCTCTGCATGAGGAATGCCATTTCCTGCAGACTTTTACTAACTAGGTTAATTATGTACAAATAATAATAGAGCATATAAATGTGTAGTTCTTAATTATTTTTTTAGTCAATTTTGATGCAATATTTTTACCGAAAGCGTCAATGCACATCATCATATATTTGTCCAATTTTAAAATGAAAGGGAATGACTGCGTTAATACGGATTTCTTAACGAGTATGACTCGAAGGCTTAAGGATCAAATCCAAAACATTACTTTTCTCCATCGATGTGTAGATCCAGAAATATAGTTATATACACACAACCAAACTTATATGAAATCATCTATTATTTTTTTATAATTTTTGAAATGTATGAGCATTTTTTGTTTATGAATAATACTGTAATTAAGTCAATTTTCATTACTATATTTCGGCCTATTGCGGATATAAATTTTAATTTTTATTTTATTTTAACTTCATGGGTAGACCCTC